GAGAATGAGAATCAGAGTAAAAGTGGGAGAAGAGAGAGGCAAAATGAAATAAATATGGAAGTGCTTAATAGTAGTTTATTGAGAGTATGACAATTTTATATTCTAGAATTCTTTGTATCATACATAAATCTATCGATTAAAGTCAGTGTTTAGCACGTGGATTAAGATGCTGCTTAGGATAACTACATCTCATATCAGGGTGCCTGGGATAGAATTACAATTCTTTTGTCAATTCCAGGATTCTCCTAATGTACACATGGGAAATAGCAGTGATGGTTCAAGCAATGGGTCCCTGCCACCTATGTGCGGAACTCAGACAGAGACCTGTGCTCCTGGCTTGGGTCTGGCCCAGCCCTGGCTGTTAATGGTCATTTGGGGAGTAAATCAATGAATGAAAACCTTTCTCTCTCTTTCTCTCTCTCTTTCTCTTTCTCTCTCTCTCTAATAAAAATAAATACTTTTAAAAAAATTTAATTCAAAAAACAACTTTTTTTCAAGATCACCATTTCTTGGGAGGTGTTAAAAATTTAACTTCTATCTTTCTTAAATCATCAGTTCCTTTTCAAGCAAGCCTAGTGCCTAATCAGAGAGGCACCCTTCTATGACAGGTCCGCCTCTGCTTTTGCTTTTCCGCTCTTTAGTCTCAGTATAACAGAATGTTTTAGAACTTTCTTTTCCCCTGTTAATACCCTTTAAAGAACGTGGGTTTCCCATCCATTGCTCTAAGACACTGTAGAAACAGCTTGTCCCTTTTTCCAAGGGGTCAGCATCCTGGACAGAACTTCTACTCTTGAGAAGGCCACAATCACTCTCAAGCTGTTTTCTCACCCAACAAAATGAAACTAGATTAGATTATGTTTTAGGTTTCTTTTTGATTGATCAATTTGCTTGAAAGGCAGAGCATTGGAGAGACAGGGAGAGAGACAGAAATGGAAAAAGATCGAGCAAGAGAGAGAGAGAGAAAATATTTTTCCATCTGCTGGTTAACTTCCCAAAATGACTAGAAGAGCCAGGTTTGGGCCAGGCCAAAGCCAGGAGCCAGGAACTCCATCCTGATCTCCCACATGGGTGGTAGGCGGCCAAGAACTTGGGTCATCATCCTCTGGTTTCCCAGGCACATTATCAGGAAGCTCGATGAGAAGTGGAAGAGCCAGACTCTAGCCTGGCCCAAGCACTCCAATATGGGATTTCAGTGTTACACATGAAGGCTTAATCCACTATGCTACAACACTGGCACTTAAGATTTCTTTCTTCCATAAAATCCCATACCTATGTTTATGTCCCAGAAGTAGGAAACCATACATGCTTAGGAATTGCTCCTGGGGTATCTGCACAACATCAGAACCACACTGTGTACAGGGGCTTCTATATGAATCCCAGAAGTGCATCTAAACTTTGTGGGACCTGATGTTTATACCACTGGGGTAGAGGATTCTTGAAAACATATAATACAATTGTTTGAATACAAAATTAAGTACAGAGTTGAATGTATATTTAGAATAAAGTACTTAAATTTGAGTTTCAAAAATTATAATCATGAGAGAAAATAGAAGTAATGATATCCCTCTTATTTCCTTACTTTACTTAAAAAAATCATGAAATGTTAAGTAATAAAAGATCATAAAATTAAGAATCATAATATTTTCATTAATTAACTGGTAACATAGCTTCATAATAGTATTTTCTACTTATTTGCTTATTTGTGTGACAGTCATAATAAAATATTTTACATGAAAACAGGAGAATGATAACTTGATAACTCAATATTTTCTCTATTACGGTTAATTAATAGTTACTTTAATTATTGATAATTAGTATAAATGAAACATTTGATTTCACACACAGAGACCCTCTGTAATATTTTTACCAATGTGTGCCCTACAAATGCAGGATTCTGAAAACTTCCATCTTATGCTATAAATAGGAGTTGTGGGCATTTGAGGAGTGAAACAGTGGATGGAAGACTCTGTCTCTCTGGCATATAAATAAAAAATAAATGAACAAAATTTTAAGAATAAAAAATCTTCAGCATGTAAGAACGAGTAGATAATCTAGTTTAAATAGAAAACTATAAGATTCCAAGTCAGATAAATATGAGGAAGAATTTAAAAGCATAATCAAAGATGGAAAGGCTTCCCTTCTCTCTCCGCCTTTTGAGCAACTCAGTGACAGGGCACATGAGCAGGACGTTTTATTCTGTTAAAAGACTTGAGGAAGATTTACAAACATTTGGCAATTCATGGAAGAACTGGACAAATCTGGAAAAATTTTCTAGTTCTGATAGATTTTTTAAAATGTTAACACACCCTCTCTGCCTCATGGACTCTAACATAGAAACTTGCTTACAGCAATTTTACTAAGGAGTGATCTCAGGAACATACATGTAATGAAGCAAGGGGAGAAGAAATGGATAGAGGGGTAAGTCAACCTGCAATACAATTGGAACAGACAATTAATCAATTTCCCAAAATGCTCCCTAGCTGACATAATCCTTCAGTGTTGTATTTAATCAAGGCAACAGAGACTTTGAACCCCCTGGTGAACCATCCATGGATAGAGATTGTCCCTAGGGAAAAGTGCATAACCTTGAGGGAAGCAGCCCTATCAGGTCAAATGCAATTCCTAGAGAGATCCAGCTCTTAATTCTCTGTAGTCAACACTCTCAGTAGCCAAGAGTATGAATATTATCATCATAAAGAAAAATTTTTGGCAGCACATTAAAGTGCACACTACAAACAACATGAAGAAATAAAAGGCAAATCCATAATAGCACTATAAGCTCTGAGGTATTCTCCATAGCTGATGGATCATTTGCGAGATAAGTGACATAGAGAGCAGACAGGGAAAATCTAATCATCCTCCCCTGTTTGAGAATCTTTTCTGAATTAAGATCATGTAACTCTCAGAAGTCCATGTTAAAATGTCAATGTGTTCTTTCCAAAGTTGTGAGGCACTGGTCTAAAGCTGCCAGTGATCCCTTTTGAGAACAGAATAAAGATAGAAGGGTGAGCTTTGACATAGTGGTTAAGATGTCATTAAGTCATCAGAGTACTGTAGGCTCAAGTCTCTGCTCTACCTTCCCATTAATGCTCACCCTGGGAGACAGCCGTGATGGCTCAATTAATTGGTCCCTGCCACCAACATGGAAGACCTGGATTGTATTCCCAGCTCCTGAACCAGCATTTGAGGAGTGAACTAGTAGAGGAGAGCACTCTCTCTCTCTCTCTCTCTGTGTGTGTGTGTGTGTGAAGAAAACAAACTACAAAAGTCACCTGGGGGAGTGAGAGAATCTTTAAGTCAAATTTCATTTTGTTTTCTACTTTACCAGGCCAGCTCTGATGCTCATGTCCTGTGTTGAATATTCTTTTACTGTTTAACCACATTCTATAATTCTTTCCCAATAGCAGATGCTCTATGCTATATGGGCAATTGAAGGATTGGGTGATGTATGCTCTGAGGTTCTGTGACACTTGTTCTTGCATTTCCATACAGGCAGCAGCAGAAGAAATGCATAACAGAGAAAAAAAAAAACTACCACTGTTGGCTTGATCTATGTTTTCCCTTAAATGCAATTAAATACTTTTTATAATAATGAATGCCAAATAAATGTAGTGGTCCAAGAGAAAAATAGAGAAAAAAAAATGCTAACAACCCCATGTGACAATCCCAGTTGTATTTGGATATAATAATTAACTTTGCTTTTCAAGAATTTATGGGAAAATAATGTTATTCTCTAACATTACTCAGAAACTGCAAATTAAGTCATTGTCAAGTGAATTCAAGATTTGTACTTGAAAATTGTGGCTAAGAATTAGGAATTTAGCAGAATGAGATTAAGCATTTTTTTCCCATATTGCAGGACAAATGTAGCCTTATCATTCGAAGAAAACTGTGGCTAACACAAGCTAGAAACCACTTAGTCAACAATCTATGGCTTTATAAAGACAAGTTTTCCTTGGAGACCATGACTGAACTATGTTATTTTTATTTTATATTTGTTAGATGAATTTTTAAATAAATTTTTAATTTTCAGGCATGGCAAACACTATTTAGAGGAATAAAACTTGTTCTTTCTCCTTCCTGCCATTGTACCTTTCTATTTTTACACTCAACTAAATCTACTATGGTCCTAAGATCAAATATATCTGTAATTGCTGACCAAAATAATCTTTAAAAAGTTCCATTTGACTTTATTATTACTGTGAAATAAGGACTATGTTATATTCTCCTTGTGTTCATTTTTAATCACTAATTTTAAAAATATGTAAAGCAGTTTTTTATTATTTCTTTCAATTTACTTTTACCAGTTTGTTAAGTGTTTCTTCTCAGAGACCAGAGATATTTTTAAATTGTTGTTATTTTATATACATGACCCCAAATGAGGTAATTTTGTTCACCCTGGGAGATTCTGGCTGTATTCTAGGTCATTTTACATTTAAATTTAGTTGCCTTTTTCTCATAGCAGAGCAGATGAGAATGCTACTCTTCTCTCAGTAGGACTTCATGAAAAGAATATCTACATAACACTTAGTTACTTCAAGATTAAATAGACACTTTTTATATAAAACTCCCCTGTTGGTTATAACTTTTACTTTGCAGTTCCTGAGCAATGTTATATGTTTGAAGTATAGCCCCACACCAAAGTCAGACCTTAACATTCTTCCTAATTTCTTTTAAGTGTAGAAATTAATCATTTGGGACTGTAATTAAACATAAGATTCTCAAAAGCAATTCTAGCACAGTTTCTAGTAGAAATGTTAGACAACATTTAAGCATATTATATCCTGTTAAGACAACACCATGCACTCTGTATCTAAAACAGTTGTTGAAAAAGTTTTAATATTTAAAAATTGATATAATTCCTCATCTGAATAACAAAGTTGGGACTTACACTGTAAAATGGGCCATCTGTAAGAATAACAAGATTACTCTTAGTCATTACATTAATGTTAATGAAACTTGTAATAAATTAAACTATTAATTTTTCACGAGACCTAAAAATGCCATCACAATAATTCAGAGAGGAGCCAGCTCTATGACACCGCAGGTAAAGCCACCACTTGCAGTGCTGGCATTGCATATGGGTGCTGGTTTGAGTCCCACTTGGCTGGAAAAGCAGAATAACATGGCCCAAGTCCTTGGCCCCTGCACCCACATGTGAGAGCCAGGGCTCCTGGCTTCGGATTGGCCTAGCTCTAGCCATTGTGGCCACGTGGGGAGTAACCAGCAGATAGAAGACCTCTCTCTCTCTCTCACTCTGCTTCTGCTCCTCTGTAATTCTGCCTTTTAAATAAACAAATAAACCCTCAAAATGATTCAATTAGAGAAAGCACAAAGGATGAATGCAAATAGAATTAAAATACGTACATTTTAGTTTAACTATACTGCTCTGTGTTCTAGGTGTGGTTTAGGGTTTTTCCCTAGCTATATACAATAATCCAACCAAGTTTTCCTCTATGCATTTTTATTCAGTACAGTTTTCTGTTCATCTGAGCTGAAGTACCTTTACTTTTGCCCCCTTTTGATCCATATTTTAAGCCACATTTATCCCAACTGAAATGACTAATGGGCCAAGAGTTTCCAACTCCATAAAGACCAATTCATGTGCTTTCTCTCACACACTCTGGAGAATTTTAATTACAGAGAACTACAAACCTTGCCATAGATAGTCCCCACCCCACACTCTTGTTCAGAGTATTGTGCTTGAAAGCAATACAACTGAGTTGTGATGTTCCTAATTTTGAAATTGTGAAATTCTGTGCATCAGAATTACATTAATTCCAGAGCTAATTCTTTCCTCTTACCTTCTTTAGCACTGAATAGAACTAGATGTCTGCTGGTGATAATTGGGGCAGTATTCAAACAGGATTCGTTTGGCTTAAGACACCTACAACGCGTGTTTCCTGGACTTTTGTGACAGTCCATGTTCCCACCTGCTCCATCAGCAGTACATGTCCTGCTCTTGAGAACATGAAGTCAGACAGACTCCCTCATCCATTCAACTTCAGGTGCAAACCACTGACCTCCTGTTGAAACCTGGTGTTGTAAGACAAAATAATATGTTGTTACCTGCTCCCATGGTCCTTGAGCCAGGGGAACATGCCACCCAGCAATGGCCATGGGAAATACAAAAAGCCAGCAAGGTCTGGTTTGCCTTGTTGTGACCTGGAGGGGAAAACCAGGGATAAGGGCCACTTGCACCCCTGTGGTGAGGGTGTATTACCCATTCAAGCAGGGGACCACAACCTTGCTCAAGGGCACATGTGTCTTAGCTTTACAGTTAATGCTAGCCTCTCCAGTATCTCTAAACGTAGAAGATAATCCTGCAAAAAGCTATGCCCCATGGAGTCTAGCATTAGTGGCAGAGATGACCCCTTTTGCCAGCTGTAGTGGCTGTAGTGTTGTCTCAAGATAAATCCCCTGCGTGTACCCTACCCAATTATCATGACTTAACATTGTTGGTGCCACTTAATTCTTTGTGTTATGATCCTTAACTTGGTGGCTGTGAACACCCTGGTGGACTGGACTCATACCTTTGCAACAGTAACCAACCAATTGGCTCTGCAACTGGACTGCTTTGGAAAATGACCACAACCACAAACAAAAATAGACTTGGTTGGAAGTCTGGAATTTTTCTGGCTTGTTATGGAACAGCAGCTGGACCCACATGAAGACCCTAGTCTTAGAACAGCACAATGAAAACCAGCCATGGTTGGGGTAGTCTATGTGGGATTGTCTGGATTGCCTTTCATTGCATGTGCCCTCATAGATGTTGCTGTCACTTATATTGTTGTGAAATTTGGTTGCAATGTTCCACACTCCTCACACAGGGATCCTCCTAGCAGATGACTGTCACATAGATGGTGAGGCAAGGAACACTGAAGGGTGAGTCAGAGAAATGAAGTCAGTCAGATTTTCTTTACTGTTGTCACACTGCTAAGCCCAGGGGTGGATACATTTCTTCTATATGCTATTTGACTGCCTACTGTTATTGTCCATGAACACGTATAAGATGTTGGGTGCAGAGCCAAGGGTGGATTACCTGTGTGTGCTCATCTGCCACCTCAAGAATAAAGTGAGGACTTCCTGTGTATGCTTGTCCATTGCCACAAGAATAAAGAGGTATGAATCTACAGGCAGCTCTGTAGTTCTCTGGCCTGTCTCAATCTGGACCTGATTTTCCTAGAGCTGAGAGCCTGTATTACACCTGCTATGTTATCAGGATAAAATAGGCTGGAATCTAGTAACAAAATAATACTACTAAAATCTCAATGGATGAATAAAACAAAGATTTATTTCTCATTCACATGAAGTCTACTTGAAAGAATGATCTTTCTCCAGGATGTCTGGTCTCCACATGGTATCTCAGAAAACCAATATGCCATCCCGTGGTTTTACCATTTTAACTGTTGCAGTGGAAGAGCTTATCTAGAGATCGCACAGCTGTTTTCTGCATTGTAAACCAAAAGTGACAGAGGCAATAGTACTCTCAACCTCTTGGCCAGAACTAGTTGAATGGCTTGGGATCTGGAACCATGGAGATCGCCCGGGGTCTTTCTGCTGGTGAAATTTCTGTTTTATTCACCACTTTACCATTATTAAAGTAGTTGGGTGGCCGGCACCGCAGCTCACTAGTCTAATCCTCCACCTAGCAGAGCCGGCACACTGGGTTCTAGTCCCAGACAGGGCACCGGATTCTTTCCCGGTTGCCCCTCTTTCAGGCCAGCTCTCTGCTGTGGCCCGGGAAGGCAGTGGATGATGGCCCAAGTGCTTGGGCCCTGCACCCCCATGGGAGACCAGGAGAAGCACCTGGCTCCTGCCTTCGGATGAGCGCGGTGCACTGGCCGCAGCGCGCCAGCCATGGCGGCCATTGGAGGGTGAACCAATGGCAAAAGGAAGACCTTTCTCTCTGTCTCTCTCTCTCACTATCCTCTGCCTGTCAAAATAATAATAATAATAAAGTAGTTGGGTAGCAATTACAAGAGTCTCTCTCTTTTGGCCCTTTAAATAAAGAGAGGATTGAAGTGATTCTTTTAATGAGACAAGTATAGAGTTAGGTAGTTAAATAGTTCATATAATTTTAACCTTCCTCATTAGGTATAAAATATTCTTCATAGGAATTTTTAAATGCTTTAGATTTTTAAAAGTTAAGCATCATTTTATGTTTGAATTTCATTGATAAATGTAAAGACAAATACTTACAGAAAGACACTACTTTGCAAGGCACATTTTTCTCCTTCCTAGAACCCCAGCTCCCCATCTTTGTATTACTAATAGTAAGTGCTAAAATGACTGTTTAGCGATAATTAGTTCCTTAATCATGCATTAATTATGAACATTTGTAATGTATATACCCTGTTATCTAGAAATCAAGGAACCACCCTGTTCCCTGTTGAAGTTGGAAAAGCACTGCAGTAGACTTCCAGGCCTTTTGGAGGTAGAATGTAGTATGGGTGTTTTCCTCATGTGCATCTTATGCCTAGCACAGTGTCTGGTGCATGGTATGCAGGCAAAAGAGAGAGTTTTATCCATTTGCCTCTCATTGCTCAATACCAGCAAAAAGTCAGTCTTTGTAACTCAGCCAAAGTTCAGCCTCCATACATTTACTTTGCTGATGGAAAGTATGAAAACAACTTGAGATTTACACATCTATCATCCCACTGTCCTACCAAGTATTTCTGATTCACATATCATTGCTTTTGAAGCTCTATTTGTGATTGTTATATATACAAACTCTGACTTTTCTTTCTCAAATGATTTTGCATTTTAACATTTAGAAGTGACTGCTAAATATTTTTAAATTTTTCATGTAAAATGTCCTGCTAGAAGTGGGTGTTCAATCTAGCAGTTAAAACACCCATGTCCCAGATCAGAATGCCTGGCTTCAATTCCCAGCTCTGACCCCTTTCCAGTTTGCTACCAGTGCAGGTGATGGCTCAAGAAGTGAGTCTCAGGGCCAGTGCAGTGGCACAGCGGGCTACATCCCCAGCCTGCAGCTCCAGCATCCCAAGTGGCTGCTGGTTCATGTCCCAGCTGCTCCACTTCCAATCTAGCTCTCTGCTATGGCCTGGGAAAGCAGTAGAAGATGGCCCAAGTCCTTGGGCCCCTGCGCCCCTGTGGGAGACCCAAAAGAAGAAGCTCCTGGCTCCTGGCTTCAGATCAACTCAGCTCTGGCCATTGGGGTCATTTGGGGAGTGAACCAGCGGATGGAAGACTTCTCTCTCTCTCTCTGGACCTACCTCTCTCTGTAACTCTGTCTTTCAAATAAATAAATAAATCTTCAAAAAAAAAAAAAAAGAAAGAAAGAAAAAAGAAAAAGAAGTGAGTCTCCCATTTGGGAGACTTGGGTACAGTTCCTAGTTCCTAGTTGTGGCTTCAGCTGTTGCAGGCATTTGGGAAGTGAATCAGAGCATGGAATTTCTCTCTTTCTCTCCTTTCCTCTCTCTCTCTCTCCCTCCCTCCCTCTCTCCCCACTCACTCTCTTTCACTCCCCCCCCACTCTTATCTATCTTCTGTCACTCTCTGCTTAAAGAGAAATATCACACGTTTTTCCTGGTCTGTGGTAACTAATGGAGTACAAAAAACTGTAATGCAGATGAGTGAAATTAACAATTTAAGATTTGATTATTGTTTATAGCCATTGTCTCTACTGTTGAGGAACAGTGTTTTTCTTTTCTTCTTACTATTTGTTGAATTCTTTATTTAGTGTAGGGTTAAGCTTATAATTATAAAATAAACTGAAACTATATAATTGTAAAAATTAAAAGAAAGAATTAGCAAGGAAGAATGAGGGAGGGAAGGGGCATAGGCATGAGGGAGAATAGGATGGGAAGTTTCATTATGCTTCTAAATCTGTATATATGAAACACATGAAATTTGTTCATCTTTATAAATAAAACCATTTAAAAAGAAATTAATATTTCCTGCTAGAGTCTAATTATATAGTTTTTACCATTAGCCTGCCTACAACTATTCCAAATAGCTAATGAATATATTCATTTATTTATTGGAATGGCATTTAGGAAGCTACACTATGTGTCAGGCACAATGTTCAGTATTGAGGATACATTGGTAAAGAGATATAGCAGTACCTGTACTTATAGAGCTTATAATATTGCTGGTGCAGATACATCCATGTGGAGGAAGTGTGTATGTATAAAACAAAATGTGAAGTCTTAGGAAAGAAGTAAGTAATGCTATTATATAGGGATCATGTAAGTGCAGGGTTATTTAATGTCCACTTCCCACTCCTCCAGGAAAACAACACTTTATGCTGAAGCTAAAGAATGAGTATAATTCACCAATGAGATAGCTCGAAGAATAGTCTATAACAGAGAGAACAATAAATACAAAGGACCCAGGATAGAAATGTGGGTGTTTAGAGACTGAAAAGAAGCCTACAATGTCAGGAGTATCATGAGAAAGAGTATAGTTGACCCAAAATGCCACAGATATATGTCAGACCAGGGTGAATCTTGGCAGTCATGGTAAAAATATCTGAATTTTCGTGATTAGACATTGTTTCAGAGATTGTTCTGTCTAAAGTGTAGAGAACGGGGCCTTCTAGATGGAAAACTGACTATTCTCAAGGACTCTCTCCATCAGGATGTACAGTTTGAATCCTCAGGCCTTATAAAAGGAATGACGAAAAGTTTTACATAATAATACATATAGAAGACCAAATAAAATAGCCAAAAAATCAGCTTAAAATTATAAAATGATTCTACAGTTAGATTTATTTTGCCATGAGCACAGTAAACAGGCAAAACCTCCTTTTCAAACCAAACTAAGGGAAAGATAAAAAGTTCTATTAACAGCTTTACAATTTAGATATGTTGGGTAAGGTGGTCATCATGTTTGATCTTACTTGGAAGGACATAGCTTTCCTCATGGGTACTTTCTTATCCAGGGGGAAAAAACATTATTAGAACATGCCTGGGACTATAGATTTCTAGCTCAGGTCACCAAAGATTAGGGATGGGACTGAGCATCCCCATGGATGTTATCCTAAAGGCTGCCTCTGTATTCTACTTTAC